ACACATATATTTTATTTTTGGCAATATGCATCTTTCTTTGGTTTAAACAATTAGACTGAAAATCACCCAGTGCAAATAGGTCCGTAACTATTTGACTATGAAACAGGAGGTTTGGTCATGTGCTTTCAGTAAAAAGCTTTGTTTTGGTTTTCCAAATATTAATATTCCTAAATAGGATCATCATAATGAGCCGACTCATGCAGAATTGTACAATTAAAGAGATCATCCAAATGAAAATTCTGTCATCATTTACTCACCTTCATGCCATTTCAAACCTGTATGACTTGTTCTTTTCTGTGGAACACAGAAGAAGATATTTTAAAGAATGTGTCTGTTTGTTTGTTTGTTTTTTTCATACAATTAAATTCAACAGGGCCCAAACCAACGTTAGATCCCACTGAATTCTATGGACAAAAAAATACAGACATTTTTCAAAATATCTTCTTTTGTGTTCCACAGAATACAGCATACAGGTTTGGAATGACATGAGGTGAATAAATGTAAATCAAAAAATGTTCATTTTTCAGACCTTTAAGGTCTGGGAATATATAGTTTTTTTTTACTTCATTAATACATTTGTGTAAAATACAGTACTGTGACTTTTTCTATGTAGTATATTCTCAAGCACCAATAATTGCTTAAGTATTATCTGATGTGTGTAATAAAGACATTACTTACAACACATATCATGTCTGTTTTAGCAGAGATTTAACATCATCCAAATGAACAGCAGACGTAAATCAGGTATGTCTGAAATCTATTTTAAACAATACAGACTGACTGGAAACAGAATAGCCAGAGTTGAGAGAACTATTACAGATCGTGATGAATGGTTAAATTCTAGTTAATCGTATGCATTCCTCTGCAACAGATTCAAATGCTTCATGTCACAATGAAGCAGCTGGGGTGGAGGAAGTGTGCACAGGTTTTCTATTAAAGTCCCCTCCTTCTAGACAGATAAGAAATATGGTAAAACATCTGGATTTCCTACACAGAAATATCAACAGTTTAAATGTATTATCTATGTATTTCATCTAAGATGTTTCATAATTCATTGCAGAAATCATGGAAGCGCCGCTTCTTTGTGCTTTCAAAGACAAATGACTGCAGCCATGAGCTAAAATACTACAAATCCACTGAGAGAGACAAACCTATAAAATCCATAGAAGCTTCCACGTAAGGCGAAAGCTACTGATTACTTTCCACATAAACAAAAAGGGTAAGTAATATGCAGAGATATAATTCTTTTTTCTATGTAGCATCACAATGCTGCAAGTGAACCCTGAAGCAAGCCCAGTTTTTGAATGGATCTGTAAAACCTTCAAGTGCTCTCCGTACTCTGTGCTCTTCATGAAAACCGAAAATCCAGGAGCCAAGGTCCAAAGAGATTTTTTCTTCATTGGAGACACCAGGTTTGCTATGATTACCATTGCTTTACCATAATTCCAATACTTAGCAAAAAAGCTGCATTGAAAAAAAGAATTTATGCAAATAACGGGAAAAATAAATAAAGGCTATTCCTTCTAGTGCTAATATATAGAATCTGTTGTTTTCAGTGAGGAGGTGGAGAGATGGTTCAATGTTTTATTCAGGGCTATAAAGGTAAGACATTCCACTTTTTGCCTATGAGTTTAATAGCTTTAATTGAGCATGTTCTCTTTTAATAAATCATTAAAAATCATTTAAAAAAATATATATTTAATTGATATATTAAATATTTAAAATGTTTAATTAGAAGTACTTTTTTAAAAATAATGTTTAACAATTATTAATCAATGTAATTTGAAGGGTCTTATAAAGTTCATTTTTCAAACTTTGTTTATAGAACAACAAATTTGAGCCACAAACTGAACCTCAGATCACGACCGAATCCAATTCTAATGACCAAAACCCCTGTGAGACACAAGAGGTAATTCATCAACAATGCTTTCACATGCTCGTGTGTGACTCAGTTCTCCTAACTTTGCCTGAATTATTTCTGAGTTGTACCTCTCAATAATTGCAGACTAAAGTTGATGGTCAACCTCCACTGCCTCCAAGGAAGAAGTCAGCATCAGAAGATGTTACCGCTCAATGTAGACAACCACCCAAAAGCAGCCCATCTGCAACACCAGTATGGCACATTTAAACCCACACTCTCACTTATAAAAACCAAACACTTGCATCATAATTCAGTATAACCACATAAAAAAACCACATCCCTTTGTTTGATGTATTCAGTTGTATGAAAATCTGAAAAAAGAGGAACCGCTGGATGAGAATGCAGTGGAAAGTAATGAGGACATGTCATCAGGGTATGACAAACGCTCATTTACCTCAATTTAACCTGTTAGACAATGCTTGTTTGTTTACCATTAAAAAAGGTAACATTAATCTTTAGATTTGAATCTAATTGTATCCTTCTTGAATATACAGAAGGTGGTTTAACAGACAAATTTCTTCTTTGATTTTGACCTCATTTTATGCCCATCTTTTGCGATTTAATGTTGCAGTGTTTGCAAGCTTATTTGTAGTAATCAAGTATCATTTTGCACAGTTTTTATGAATGTACTCTGTGCTCACATGAGTTTACTTATTGTTAGAGGCCTAATTTGATAGACTCACGGGCTTTGAGCAAATGATAATTATTTGCTTTTCTGTCTAGGGAGAGCGTGACTGGTACATCTGAAGACAGTATGTTGGATTGCGTCACAAAAGCCTTCAATAATATTAAGACACCACAAACATCCACTGAGTCAGATGGGCAAAGGTAAAAACAACTGACAACTGATTTCTAATTAATAATGCATACTGCTATTTGTTACATTATTATGAATATGAATAAAAAGCTTGGTGTAAAAAAAATATTTACCTTAGCTGTCACAATCATCATGCATCATGCTTTTCAAAAGTATCCAGCACTGATCTTGCCCAAGTAGTTATTACTCATATTACAAAGGCGAGTTAAACTATATTTTGTAGTGTCTTAAACAGTTAAAATTTTACCTTAAAAAAAATTTAAATCAGCACCACCATAATGGATAATACCTTATTGTCATCCCAGGATTTATGGAATTCAAAAAACCTATACTAATAATAAAAACTCTAAAAACTCAATGGAAACAATGGTACGAGAGGTGATTTATGCCTTATCATTATGTCAAAAATACATGTTTAGTACATCTGTAGAAGGTCAATTCAATAGAAAACAATATCCTAAAGTGCGGAATTTAGTTGTCTAACAACTATAGGGTTATTTTGGTTAATTGTGGTTTGGAATCTAGTTTCATTTTGAGTTACATGTTTCATAGTTACATGTTTCCATTCTTCAGTGAAACGCACACCCTTGCCGAGAAGGAAATCTGCATAAGTCATCTTGATGCAAACAGCTTGGTTATTACAGAGGAGGAGGGAAAACCATGGTACGATTCTCACAGATAAATTAAAAATTGTTATTACTCCAAAAATACTCTATCTACTGGAAATGTTGGGCTGAGCCCAGAAGCATCATCTGGTTCATGCAAGTTTGTTTGAATTAAATCTATTTTTCTGAACCACTGGTGTAACCTCAAAATCAAAAAGCAAGACTCCACTGGTTCAGCCCAACATGGTGAAAATAACACAAACTACAAATACTACCTCTTATGTTTAGTTTAGCCTCCACATTTCTTTTCCTCTCTAGTGTATCTAAATGTGGGGAGATTCCGGCTTCATGTCAGTTCCACAAGGGAGATCAGATTCTGGCTGTCAATGACCTGTTGACAGACACAGTGAAGGAGGTACAGACATACCTAAGAAGACTCAGCAAGAGCGAGGTAGTCATGAGACAAAGTACAAGAATGATATTGTAAATGTAATCAGAGCTACAATATGGCTATAGTTGAACTTACACTTTTTTGCTCTCGCTCCAGGTAAAACTGACCATTCGAAGGCTCCCAGACTCCATTCCTCTGCATTCCGAACCCTGCTGAGGACAAAAACAAAATCTCATGCTATGCTACTGTTCTTCTTCAGCATTTTTAATCCCTTCATTTCTCTTTTAAAATCAATGTGAAAATTTCTCATGCATTCTTTCTCTATGGGGAACAGCACTGTGCTGGCAAACAATAGACAGTCATTTAAAACAGAATGAGCCCATGAAAGTGCCGTAATGTAGTATAACTTCAAGTCTCTCTTTTGGTGATTTATGAAACTGCTATTTATGATTTGTTAGTGCCAGATCATGCAGTCTGAAAGTATTGCTTTTCACCCAGCCCTGGGGGTCAACAGTAAAACAAGTAGCTCTTGTTTTCTTGTGTGCACCAAGACTTGCTGAGCTTTTGTCATTCTAAAAAAGTTATCAAAGTAATGGCTTGCTATAATTTTCATTTTGCACTATTCTGTAAATCAGCAAGGTTGAGGTAACAGAAACATTTACAAGTTTTAATAGAACTTTCCTCTAGCAGTAAATAAATGGTAGATAGCGTTACTGATAGGTTGAGCAGTATTTTACTGAGCGTTTTTTCGTAAACCTGTGAATCTGTGAACTGAAATTGCATTTAACTGCAGTATATTTTGTAGCCACATGGTAGCACACTAACACAAACTGAATTATATTAAAACATAATCTTATATTAATCTTGTATTCTTATAACCTGAATTCTGATTGCTCCTGTTCAGCATATAAATTCACATCTAAGTATCTTTTATTATATTACTTTGGCAAAGAATGTGTTTTTATAAACTGACGGCTGCATTATTGCAGTTGCATTGAAACTTGTCATGTTGGTAGCAAATCCAAATGTTTTTTTTCAAATTGAAATGAGGTTCAGATATTCTAATAAATACATGTAAAATGCAAAAAAAAAAAAACTGACACTGTTCAGCATTTAAATGACTTTTCTTACGAAAAAGATATCGTCTTGTACATGCACAAATATGAAATAAAAATGTGATTAAAAGAACAAGATCATTATTGAAACAAGTGTAGAGTGTATAGAATTTATTTCCTTTAGAAACACTTTAATATATAAAAACGTCAAGAGTAAAAAAAAAACCTCCTAAAATAAGAGAGCAAATGTGGTCCATTTAAGCATTAGCCACTGGCAAGGGGAGCCATTCATAAAAGGCAATAGAGGCAACACTATTAGCCATCACACAACCAGCACTTAAAAAGGCAGGCTGGAAGAACGAACTTAATTTTTTTTTTTTCAAATGTGAGAAGGCAGTCCAAAACTCTCAAATTTGAAATGGTCCACTGAGTAATACAGGTCCAATCAATAAAGGCACCGTTTGACTGTTTGGCCAAAGGTTTGATTGTGGATGTCAGTTTACTTTATAGCCTTGTTCCACAGCTTGAGTTTCTCAGGGCACATGATGTTGAGCGGAGGTTTCTGGGTTCAGTCTGCCACTCACGAAAGAAGCCCTCCATGGCTTTCCTGCTCCTCCAGCTGCCCACATTCACTGTGGGAAAGATCTTTTTCGACTGCAGCCACTGCACAAAACGCTTCAGCTCAAGAAAACTGCTGTGCTCACTGTAGGGAATACCTGGAACAGATAAGTATAGAGTAGGAAAGTATCTCTCAAAATCTTTGACATGCTGGGAAAACCTATTTATATCGTAATCTCCTTGCCACCGTCAAAATTCTGTAGACCAACCATGATTTCTGCTGCTTGAGCGGAGTCATATTCTAGCCTTTTGTATAATTATTTCACAATTATATAGTGTCTTTGTGTAAAGTAGCAAGCACAAATTCCCATTAATTCCCACGTTGGACATCTCAGATTCCAGTGGAGCTTGTGAAATGAGATGCATCTACTGCTTGAGGCAGCACACGATTGGGCTGCAGACCGCTGATATTATGAAATTAAAACCCTGGGCTTGCAAATTCTGACATCTTGAGTTTTTCTCTGGGTCAAATCACATCTGCTGATTCTGTTAATACAGGGCATGCTGTTTTTAGCCTGAAACGACATTCAGCATTTCTAACAACTGCAGGAAGGGAGAAAAATCAATATAATGTGATTACATTCCACATACAAAGCCATTAGGTATAATCTTGTCAGTTAGTGGAACAGAATGACAAGGCTGTGTTGTGTCTACACTGAAAATCAGTTCTATGGAAGGCAATCCTCTTTAAGATCTTATTAAGGAAGGGATGGTGTGACAGACATCAATTAAAAAAATAGCATGTTTTCAGCATTTTTGTTTTATTGGTATAGACCTACCATTAAGCAAAATGGAGAAAACCTATTAAAGTGCCATAAAACTGCCCATCATAGATGCAAGCAAATGATGCAATATGATAAGGTGTTTTTTATTCGCTTTTTTAAACGTCTTATTTCCATTTTGATTTAAAAGGATGACAATAATACAAACTCATTCACCAGACAAAATAGAGAGTATTTTTTTCCTCTTATAAAATCAAAATGCAAACAACACAATTTGGTTTACATCTGCTTCCCTTGATTAGGGTTTGTTTGGAATTGCAATTTAAGTTTCACGTGAAGCGACCAAATTTTCTAAAAATATTAGAAGTAAAGGCAGCCCTACATGTGCGCTACTGGCTGATTTTGCGGAAAACCTTTCCTGTTAATGTCAACATGCCAGACACATAACAGACAGTCTCAGATATTTCAACTGTATTGTAATATCTGCACTTAAACACTTGCTATAGTGAATCAGATAAGTAAAATCATTATATTAAATCCTTTATAATCTAAACTGACACATACCGTAGATACTGATGTTCCCGAGTCTGAGGCTGGATGTCTTCCACTCTTACACTTTGGTTGAAGGTCCAGCCCGTGGGCTTGAATGCCACTAGCTGGTCATACTTCCTGGAGAACTTAATCAAGTGTGTCCGCAGGTTCTGTACAGTTAAGAAGAAAAAAAAAAACACCTAAATCCATTTAAGCTGATTAGCTTGAGCTGTTGCTCCTCTTTAAGTTATTTTGAATAAATATGTCTGCAAATGTAATAAGTGTAAATGCAAATATACTCTTCCATTCAGAAGTCTGGGGTCAGTATGTTTTTATTTTTGTTTGTTTTTTTAAGAAATTACTTTTATTTAGAAAGAATGCATTAAATTGATCAAAAGTGACAGCAAAGAGATTTAAAATGTTTCAAAAGATTTCCATTTCAAAAGGCTGTTCATTTGAACTTTCTATTCAAATTATCCCAGTTTTCACAAAAATATTAAGCACTAAGCAGCACAATTGTTTTCGAAATTGACAATAAGAAAACGTTTCTTGAGCACCAAATCAGCATATTAGAATGATTATTGGATCATGTGTTAAAATATATCAAAACTGACAAGTTATTTTAAATTGCAAGAATATTTGGCTATTATAGTTTTAGCGTATTTTTGATCAAATAAATACAGCCTTGGTATGCATAAGAGTAGGGCTGGGTATTGACACAAATTTCACGATTCGATTCAATTCGATGAGAGTCAGTTGGTACTACATTACTATAATACTAAAGGTTAAAATTAACTGATTTGTATACAAACACTTAAATTACAATCAATGAAGCTTTACTAATAAATTTATGATACTAACTTTGCAATTGAAATAAACATTAAACATTTAAATGGTGGCTGTCATAAAAACTTGACGGATTTATTCAAACAAATTAATTTGAAAATGAATTTGAAATCTGAGACTTTGTTTCATATCAAAAGTAACAAAACACAAAGCTTTTTGCGATTTTACTTCGGATTTAAGAATCAATATTGTTTCATAAAAATGAGAATCAATTAAAATTGAGAAATCTATTTTTTTTTTTTTACCCAGCCCTACATAAGAGACTTTCAAAAACAAAGAAAATCTTACTGACCCACAACTTTTGAATGGTAGTATATGTAGCAAAACTTAGGAAGCCAAATGATGCCACATTGCAATCAACTTCTTTCTTTCAATTTACATAATGACTGTTCAATGTCGCTGCAAAAGAAAATGAGGTGCAATCTACAATCAACCTTGCCCTGAAATTTTTCCTCCTTTCTGTCATGGCCATTTAAACACATTTCTCATTGGGAACAACTCCGCAATTGCTCTGAAACAACATCTACATTGGCATGGGTGAGAAAAGTTGCTTATAATGGTTCAGGGCACATCATATGACTAATCTTTATTATCTGCAACGGTCTCATTAGAATTTACTTTTAGTCAGACTCAATCAGTGCTACCGCTGCCAGAACTGCTGTGCAAGCACTTTGTCTCTGTAATTAGAAACTTAATTTTTTCCCCCTCCCACATTAGCATAAAAGCGCTGTAAAGGAAAATGAAAGATAACAAAGAATGCTGCATGAATTTTAAACTCCAAATTGAATAAGTAAATATAGCCCCATTGATTGTGTTTAGCATAATCAGCTCTTTTTATACACTTATGAACTCAAACAGCAAAAATTGCAGATGACAGAAATTGCATTTCATATTGTATAACTCACAGATATGACAAACAAGCTGCAGAAGTTTTAAATGTAGTTCAGCTCACTTTGAAATTGAGCTGCATCATAGGAAGTACATGCACCTGAGCCACCTGCCAGTCTGTAGTGATGCGCCGGCCAATCTCCTCTGACTCCAGGCAGCACATGGTGTTATACTTATCCTTGGACAAACACACTTTAGAGCCCAACACTTCCGATACAGCTAAAGGGAACAGGTGGGACAGGTTTAAAAAAAAAATTATATATCTCTATATACACAAGAAGGGACGAATGAAAAGTAGTCTATTGGGATTTGGAAAGAAGTTGCAATCCATTGAGACAGTCAAGAGAGACCTTATTTTAACAGTCTACAGCGGGACACTATGTAATCAGAGCTTTAAATTAATCATGGATGCATTCTTTTAACACAAACAGGAAGCCAGTCAGACAAACTGTGGAACAGGAACAATTTCAAAGTCAAGTCAAGTCTTTTTTAAACTCTTTTACTTTATACGAGCTTCATTCATGAGCAAGTATGACGGTCACAGATAATAGAATAGCGAACAATCCTACAAAAGGTCTGGACAAGGCAGGACAACTTTGCTCACTGACCTAGAAAAACCTTCTCTTTCCCAACTGCGTAGGTGCCACAAACCACAAGTGTACGAGGGTTCAGTGTGACCTGTTCAAAAGCTGTGTTTACAGCAAAGGTGATGACTTCATGTTGAGCAGGAAAGGTATACTCAGGACTGCAATACCTATAGAGGAGAAAACTTTTTTTTTTGTTTTTAATCTCAACCCTATCTCAGTTAATGTGATCAAAATGATCAGCAGAGAAATAAGAGACACAATGAAGCACCAAAAAGTAGCTTTGTTAGTAGGGAGCTCACGTTGTGTCCAGATAAAGGGTCTGTATCCTGAGACCCTGCAGCTCTGGGTAGCGCTCCATGGACGGATCAGCCCGGAAGTCACCTGTGTGGAGCACCGTCTGGCCATCTGGCAGAACAAATAGTAACATGGCTGCCCCAGGACAGCTGGGGGGGGAAACAGTCATTGTTATTAAGGTCTTGTCATTCTGTATAAACACAGGGACCTGTAATAAAGAAATAAATTGGGCTTCAAATCTTCATTAGTTACTTAGAGGATACACTTACTGATTAGCATCCAGGAGAATGACCTTCACTCCTTGCACCATACACTTTGTGTTCATTGGGAGAACATGAACATACTGCTCATCCACCTTCAGCTTGCTCTTCACCAGGTTACTAGTTATCTACAATGATTAACACCAGTTAGTAATGAAAACCAAGATTCAGTCAAGAACAAATCCTCCCTGACACCATCGTTGAGAAAAAAGAAAACATTTTCATTTCTTCACTGGCATTTTGCTTTCCCCATTTGTTTTTACATTTTCCACCTTCGTCCTGACCCTTATATTTAACTGACGTAAATTTGTGATATTTTGTCAATGTGCTGATAATTCTGATTTCATAACCATGACACATTTCTGAAGTTGAAAGGGATAGTTGAACCAAAAATTAATTCTTTCATGATTTACTCACTCTTATGTTGTTGCAAAACAGTATGACTTTCTATCTTGTGTGAAACATAAAAGAAGATACTTTGAGAAATGTGTTTTTGTGTGTGTGTGTGTGTAATATATATATATATATACTGTATATACACAATAGAAGTCAATGGTCTGTGTTGTTCCTGTGCTGTTACCAATTCTCTTTTGTGTTTGAAAGAAGAAAGAAATTAATAAAGGTTTGGAAGAACATGAGGGTGAGTAAATAAACGACAATTTTTATTTTTGGGTGAACTAAGGTGCAATGAAGGTGTATTTATTTATTTTAATCCTTTCATAACAGATTGTGTTCAAGAAAAGCATTCTCTAGCTGACTATATTTTAGAATGGAGTATAACTTTAGCTGTCAGATCTTTTCCCCATTCAGAGCCAGTTAGACTATGCTTTAGAGGACGCGACGACTCAAGAAGAGAAAGAAAATCTTGTACATCAGTATTTGCACAAAATAGACGAAAATGACGATTTAATTATACCAGATTTTGAAGAAGGTAAGAGTGTAAATGAACTCAGTGGGTGTGAGAATGTATACAGTATTTGGATCTCGTGGGAGTGGCTTTGAAACTTAAGATCAATCATAGATTGATTCGTGGTTTTAGATAAACGAATAACATTATGGAACATGACAAGCCAATCACAAATTGCTTCTGTGATTTTTACTGCTCTATAATGTTGTATTGAATTAACAGTGAGTGTTTCACACTGTAGTGTTGGTTCTGGGAGGCTATCATGGGGGGACATCCTGTTCAGATTTGTATCTGCCTTGCCAATTTTTTAAAGGCACCACCACAAAAAATGCTGAATAATTTATAGCAACACATTTTTATATGCCTCAAGAGAATATATTTTTCATTTAATGTAAATTTTCATAATATATGTCATAGTTAAACTGTAACCATTCCATTGTTGTTTTGAAGGACTGGAATGGTTGAACACAGATGGCCCATTGTCACTCAGGAAGGAACTATCAGGCAAAGTGGTGGTGCTTGACTTCTTCACCTACTGCTGCATAAACTGCATGCACCTACTTCCTGATCTACACCAGTTGGAGCAAAGTTACACCATAGAAGGTATGACTGATACATGTTTCGTTAGAGACTGTTTGTGGACCAGTGAAAGACAAGGAGAGTGTAAAATTATACCATATGATAAACATGGCATCTACCCTGATTTAGAGTATGTTTGTAGTGATTACATTAGATATTTACATCATTAGGTAAACAAAAAGCATCTTACAATATGTAGCTGTACTAAATAGGCAATCCAGATAAATGTTTCTTGACTGTGTTGATGAGAACTTTACAAATATCCCATAGTAAATCATTCCCAGGGTTCACTGGGGCAGAAGAGAGAGCCTTTTGAGCTTGATAACTTCTTCTGGTCCAGCAACACATTCCCATTATCTCTCAACTGTATCGGATAGGAGACTTTAAATATCCACAGAGACCAGATCGAGGGCAGAGAGTTAAACATAGATACACTATTATAAGGGTCTGTAGCTTATTGTAGCAGCTCTGCATTCAGTGCTATCAGCTCCAGCTGTCAGTAGCCCATCGGTGGCCACTTCTGTGGGATCATCCGGGGCAACTGGCCAGGCAGGCGTCAGCCCACTCTCTAGCATACCTCACACATAACTCATCGCTGGCACTTCTTTTGGTAAATTCTGTTACCGCTGTTCAGAACATGCCTCCCCAGTCCCCACCACTCTTCCAAACGTCTCATTAATTATTAGGGTTTATTGTTGATTATATTGCAGAACAGTGGCCTTTTATTATTAAACAGAGATGTTTTTACTCACATCATCTAATGTTGGCTGGCTCTGGGTTGGTTCTTTCCAATTTCTATTAAACTTCTACTAAAAAAAAAATAATAATGTTCTTGCCCTGCCACTATTTTCAGTGGCACAACCATAAAAATTATCTTTCCATAAAAATACAACCATAAAAATTATTTCATTTACAGAAAATAAATATTTATTAGTTTTATTTGCTGGAATTTTTACAGTAAGCATAGAGTTTTTATAACATAAACATGCTGACTTGTTTGATGTTTCCAATACTAAAATCTTAAAATATTAATAATAATAGTATTATATTAACTTATTTATTGTTATTAATTTATTTATTATTCTTTAACAAATTTATATATATTGAATAAATAATCAGCTTCATGTATTATTATTAATATTTATTTTCCTAAAAACACATGTACATAATCAACAAAAATCGTAGTGACGACACAGCTCTAGTTTGATGGGGCAGGCAACAGCTTAAACTCACGCGTATCGAAACCAAGCAATCCTTGTTGTTAAAACCTGCATATATTCCATAGGTTACACTTATACTTCTCTCTCATACTCCTCATCATAAGCAGAAGTGCTGGTTTTAGCATGCATTTACTCCCCTGAGGGGAAATCAGCTGGAGAGACATGAGAAAGAATACAGAAAAACATTGAGCACATTTTGACTACGCCAGGTGTATTTCAAATGCATTTATAGGCAGAGGGGAAGCAGGCTAAAAGCATACTGAAATGGGACACTGGCCCCCCGTGCGTGTGCTTCCTGTCTCCGCTGCTGAGCCTATTGAAACCATTGTCTGTCTGCTTCAATCATCAGTGACTGTGTCGCTTACCCCAGGGACACAGAATGGAGGAATGTCACTTCCAGTGACGAGGCGGAGAAGTTCCGCTGACATTTTTGTTAAATTAGACAAAGTCAAGCGGAGTGAGCACAGACTATAGCGTAGTGCAGGAGACTGGAACAAACAGAGCGCATTGGTTATAATGGGATGCCTGGGGGCTGAATGAGCTCCCAATCAAGACTCCTGTCTTTTCCTTGATTGGTTTTGACATTCTGCATGCAGTAGCCTTTGTTAGGATATGTACCTCTGGGATTCTTATACTCTCATTTCTTGAAAGGGGCCTACATTTTCTATACTTGTTTTGTAGCATTTTGTTTTTTTTTGTGTGTATATTTATAATCCTAGTTAAGGATTCTTGCATTAAAAAACAGCCGATTAACTTGTTAACTTGACCAGTTTTCACACCCTCTCTGACCCTTAAGGCCCATTTACAAGAAAAATAACTGTAACTATATTTGTGTCCACACATATGCAAGATAATGTTCTGTTTATTATAAGTGTGCATGATATGTCATCTGTTGATTTTAAATGCTGGAGAGCTTAAATGGCTGTCAAATGTTTTTATCGTTCATCAGCTGGAAAAAATTATGGACGTGAATCCAACCATATTGTTCCTCTTCGTTGTGGACTACCCATTCTTATAGAATTAAAATTAATTCTGGTGTGAGCAGCCTTTACACTTTGTCCTAAGCAGATGATACATAAAGTGTCAAGCAATCAAATATATTCCATTTTTTGTGACCTTGATAAGCAATGTGTGACATGACGTTGTCAGTCCCTTAGTTTTCCTTTTTGTAGGTTTGTGTTTCCCCGCCCACTTTGAATCCCATTGGTCTAAACACACACTCCACATAACTGTTTATTAAACATGTCTTAATTGGGTATTTTTATGCTATGTCGTTCAGCATTACATCTTTCATTGTGGACAGTAAGGCTTCTATGTAAATGAAATGTGTTATGACTGGCTAACCTCGTTGCATATCTAATCAGTAACAAGGCTCCTCCTAAATGGTTTTTTTAATGTCAATATGATGATTTCTGCTTAGTTTCCGTTGGATGAGTGGATAGGAGTTTTACAATGTGATTATTACAGTATGTCTAGTACATTGAGGACTTTTATAGCAAGTAAAATGCTGATTTTCATGTCCTCTTTACAGACATTTTTGTTCCAGATAGACTTTGTTGTTCTTTTACTGAATGTTTTTAAAAAGAAAGGAACTGTGACTCATGAAGAGTGAGGTTTAGTACTGTTGAAAACATTCAAGGCGCTGACACACGGACAAAAGATGGTTCTTTGGGATTTTCAGTGTTCAAGGACTCGGATAAAACATGTCAGAAGCATACACCAACGCAACATGCTTCCACACATTGTTGAGGAGATAAGAATGAACAGCTTTGTGTAACCTGAATAGATTTTCTTTGAACGAACAAAAAAAGCATCCACAAAAAACATAATTAGGCAAAAAATAAATTTAAATAATTAAATGAAAGCCACTTTCCTATCGTTCCCTTTTGATTTAGGTTCAGACCTCGATAGATTAAAAATGATTTCATAAACGTTCTTTATAAAGGACCTTTTAGAATAACTTTGAAACCTAAATGTACCTCAGGGCATTTTAATAAAAGTTCTACTAAGGCCAGTAGGTTTTGGTAGGTAAAAACTTTTTTCTTTTTCATCTCCATTACAGATGGTCTTCAAAGAGAGTATCAAGTGCTAGATGATAAAGTATTCTTTTTATTTGTTTTTATTTTAATTTCATCATTATCAATCTTAGAAGCCTAAAATAGGATAAGATTATCATACCTCCTCTTCAGTGTCAAACCCTCTATATATCTTGCATTTCTCTTCTTTTCCATCTCTGCAGACGGTCTGGTTGTTGTAGGTGTGCACTCGGCTAAGTTCCCCAATGAGAAGGTCCTAAAGAACGTACGCAGTGCGGTGTTGAGATATGACATCACCCATCCTGTAGTGAACGACAGCGATGCCTGTCTGTGGCAGGAGCTGGAGGTGTCCTGCTGGCCCACGCTGGTACTGCTGGGACCCAGAGGGAACCTGCTTTTCTCCCTGGTGGGTGAAGGCCATCGAGAACAGCTCTTCCTTTTCACTGCTGCTGCCCTCAAGCACTACAGAGAACAAGGGCTGCTCAAGCACCATGATGTGGGAATTAAACTGTATAGAGACTCCCTGCCTCCCTCCATCCTCTCTTTCCCTGAGAAAATAGCCATGGACCCCAGTAGCAAGCGGTTGGCTATTGCCGACACAGGACACCACAGGGTACTGGTGGTCTCCAATACTGGGCAGGTGCTGCACTGTATAGGGGGTAAGACCTGTTAATACACGCTTTTTAAGTTAAGTTATCAAATTCAGGGGACACTGCTTTTGTTCTGTTTTTTAAAGAAAACAGGGACACTCTCAATTTCTTTATGGTGCATAATTACATTAGAAAATTTGCATTTTAGTTTCAGAATTTTCTGTACTTTCTTTATTTATTTATTTTTGATAATATAATTTGACATGCGTTCAGATCAGATCTTCATTTAATTATTATTAAAATTCATGCACATACTACCGTTCAAAAGTTTTGGGTCAGTAAGATTTAAAAAGAAATAATTTTTTTTTTCTTTTTTTTTTTATTAAACAAAGATGCATTAAATTGATCAAAAGTGACAGTAAAATATATTTATATTGTTACAAAAATTTAAGAAAAAAAAAAGTTCCCACAAAATATTAAACAGCTCAATTGTTTTCAATATTGATAATAATAAGGAATGTTACTTGAACAATAAATCAGCATGTATGAATGGTTTTTGAAGGATCATGTGACACTGAGGACTAGAGCAGTGGCTTCTGAAAATTCAGCTTTGCCATCCCAGGAATAAATTACATTTTAAAATATTTTAAAATAGCAAACAGTTATTTCAGATTGCAATAATATTGCTGTTTTTATGGTATTTTTCATCAAATAAATACAGTCATGGTGAGCATAAGAGACTTCTTTCAAATCATTAAAATTGTTATTTATATATTAATATTATTTCAATTAAAATGTATACATTTTATTAGTTTGCCATGTAATTTAATGAATAAAACTAGTAATGTGATAAATAGGGTTAGGGTTAAATGTATGTAATTTTATTATTCAAAATTGAATGAATAACTAGAATAGTTTTTTTTTTTTGTTTGTTTGTTTTTTGCAAGAGAGAATGTCTTTGCTGGAATGAAGTTTGTTATTTGTACCTGTTTGGGTGTTACACCCTAAAATAAGGGGCAAATTGCATCCGTCCTTGAAATGCAGTTCTGTTCCCTTGCAGGATGGTTCCATAAAATTAGGGTTGCCAACTGCCCTATATATTAAATATAGAAAATCTGTTAATTTTCTTTTTGGTGAATGTTTTGAGGCTATTTTAGTCTACTTTTAGACTGGTTTATCTTTGCCTTTATAGGTCCCTCAAGTGGGAGACGAGATGGAAATTTGTTTGAGGCACAGTTCAGCTCCCCACAAGGGGTGTTCATAAAGGGAGACATGGTCTACGTGGCTGACACTGAGAACCACCTTGTTAGAAAGGTAAATCAGCAGAATCGTTTTTTGCAAGAGAGAATGTCTTTGCTGGAATGAAGTTTGTTATTTGTACCTGTTTGGGTGTTACACCCTAAAATAAGGGGCAAATTGCATCCGTCCTTGAAATGCAGTTCTGTTCCCTTGCAGGATGGTTCCATAAAATTAGGGTTGCCAACTGCCCTATATATTAAATATAGAAAATCTGTTAATTTTCTTTTTGGTGAATGTTTTGAGGCTATTTTAGTCTACTTTTAGACTGGTTTATCTTTGCCTTTATAGGTCCCTCAAGTGGGAGACGAGATGGAAATTTGTTTGAGGCACAGTTCAGCTCCCCACAAGGGGTGTTCATAAAGGGAGACATGGTCTACGTGGCTGACACTGAGAACCACCTTGTTAGAAAGGTAAATCAGCAGAATCAGGTCAAGCTATTTCTCCTGCTGGCAACTCTAACCCAAATTCACTCTGATTGGTGCTTGAAAAACCGCTTGTGTCTGTCCTCAATAGAATCTGACTTTTTTTCCTTCTCTAGATCAACCTTTCAGAAGGAAAAGTCTCAACCTTAGCCGGCACTGGCGTTCAAGGTACAGATAAAGAAGGCGGTGCACTGGGACCACAACAGCCAATCAGCTCTCCCTGGGATGTTACCCTTGGCAAAGCAGGTCAGGTACTTTTACTATTCATCCTCTTCTAGTATACTCTGCTCCTTCCTTTAGAATTAGGATCACTCTGTTTTCTTTTTTTCTACCTTGCTCATAAAATTTTATATCTTGTGAATCTGCGTTTCATTATTCTGCTGCGAGCATTTTATGCATCCCTCTCACATCTTCCCTCTATCTGTCTTGTCCATCTTGGAATCTTTAATCAGGTTGCTCTCAGAAGTCTTCGCTTTGTAGATACCACACTCGCCTTTGATTTTCACAAGTGTGTACGGTGAGGGGTGCAAAAAAGATCTTTGTTCTGCTAAAATGGCCTCTTGTTGTTTGGAAGCGGCCCTGGAGGAAATTGCAGGGTCGGTCAGTTGCTAACCAGAGACACAAAGCTGAATGTTGTGGTGTTGCCTGAGTTAAACCCACAACCCCAAAGAAATAGAAGGTGATATGATCAGAAAGCACTCATGTGGCTGTGGTTTCTGATAAATGGCGCCTCTAACGAACTGTTTTCATCAAAGATTGCATCTTTTTGTTTCACAGTAATATCCTTATACAGACCGGCCCTGGACAAGATGTCCCACAGGTCTAGAAAATTTAATTTAACATGCTTCTAAAACATCATTAAAATTCCTACTTTATATTTGAAGGCATTATTTAATCAGTACACATTATTTCATCATATCGTTCCATTAAACAGCTGAAGAAATGGATGTGGCCAGCATTAGCTGAGAGAGAGAGAGAGATGTTTAAAGTGGTCTGTGCAGTGTGTGTTTGATTTAGTCAGCGTGTGTTTGGAGCACATTCATTGATGGTCCCCACTGTGCATTAGGTCTGTTCCCTGAACAGTCGGTTGCTTTCTTGCAGGTTCTCCTGCTAAGAAAATAAGATATTGCTGTATCGTAATTTAACATGCTTCTAAAACATCATTAAAATTCCTACTTTATATTTGAAGGCATTATTTAATCAGTACACATTATTCCGTCATATCGTTCCATTAAACAGCTGAAGAAATGGATGTGGCCAGCATTAGCTGAGAGAGAGAGCGAGATGTTTAAAGTGGTCTGTGCATTGTGTGTTTGATTTAGTCAGCGTGTGTTTGGAGCACATTCATTGATGGTCCCCGCTGTGCATTAGGTCTGTTCCCTGAACAGTCGGTTGCTTTCTTGCAGGTTCTCCTGCTAAGAAAATAAGATATTGCTGTATCCTGTTCCTTTATGCATCTGCTGTTGTCACTGATGCTATTTCCAGTGCTCTAAAGCCTTTCAGTACTTTCTTTTGCCACATTCCACAAATGGAATATAACAACAGGGTCACTTTTGTATTGTTTTTTTTCCATAAAGAGTCAGTGAATGGAGGCAAATCTAAACCTTTAGAAAACATTATTTAATCAAACTAAATACATTTAGGAAAAGAGATAAAATTTATGCTTTTGTTTAATATTATTATTAATTTATACTTAATATTATTTGTTATTATATACTTATAAAATATTATAAACAATATACAAAACAAAATAATAAATATATTACATAATATTCATATAAAAAATATAAATATATATATTTATTTTATTTTTTTGTCCTGTAATCAACTTTAGGCTCCTTATTTCTAGGGTGAAATATTGAAGTAAATTTACTGAAGTATTTTATTTTATTTATTTATTTATTTATTTTTACTTTTCCACAGACCAATGGTTCTCTCTATAGTATAATATGGAATTTTTGCTATTATTGTTGTAATGGGACACATTTGTGGGACAGGTGGTCGAGTCAGACACCTACATCAGATACCATATGTTACTGGATATGAATATAAGCAATGTCTCATTTACATTGTGGAATGATCTTGCATGCATGGATGAGATCTAATAAAGTGATCGCCATGCAGCCAAAAAGGATCAAATGTGATATGAAGGTTATGCGAGTTAGAAGTTGACAACTTGTTTACTCGTTTCATGCGTGCTCGACTAAGAATTAGTTCTGTTATTTTTAGCAAGATAATCAACATTAATATGTTGTAAACATGTAAGCTGTTTACTATTTGATAGCGTGTGTTCATGTTTATGCAGGTGGTGATGTTTTGTGGATAGCCATGGCAGGAACGCATCAGATCTGGGCTCTCTTCCTGGAGGACGGGAAGCTTCCCAAAGGGAGGTGAGCTCTTCTCCCAGTGTTCTCCTCATGTCAGTTCTGTACAGACAAGGCAGGGTTCAAGTAAAGAGGCCACGGCACTGCCCAAGTGATGTCATTTTCTGGGCAGCCACACAGTTCACTGTTGGTGGAAATCGTTCTGATCGTCCTGATACAAAATGAACTTGGTGTGCTGTTCGCAAATGTAACATTTCTCTTGACGTTTTTAGAGGTGTAGCGAGCACTGATAACAGCTTTAATGTCTCAGGGAATAATTAATAAATATAATGATTTTAAGACTTTTTGGTACCATTTGCCAGAGATTTTTTGGGGGGGTCTCTTACATGCTATTAGATCAAAATTGCAGTTATTTTGTCACAATTCCGGCTTTTGTTTTAGAGTCAGCCAAATTAAGAGCAGCAACTGTTCCATATAATCATTCTAATCAGACTTAACCATCTTTATCTAATGCCTTTTCCAGCGACAGCAAAAAAGGAACATGTGTGCGCTTTGCGGGCAGTGGGAATGAGGAGAACAGAAATAACGTGTATCCTCATAAAGCGGGTCTGGCCCAGCCGTCAGGCCTGGCTCTTGCCCCAACAGAGCCCTGGGAGTGTCTCTTTATCGCTGACAGTGAGAGCAGCACCATTCGTAGCCTTTCGCTGAAGGATGGAGCAGTCAAACATGTGGTGGGGGGAGAGAGAGACCCTCTGGTAAGCCCTGCCTGCCATGTTTACAGGTCTGAACAGTTTAACATGTCAAAGATATGTGTTTTTCACCCATTTTTGTGGTTTTGCAACCCGTAATACTGATTTAAAAAATGATATTGATGCCAAATTATATCTGGTATAATAGATGTATTGTTGTAGTATTGTTTGTATACTATTATAGTATTTATTAATCGTTTTTTTATATAGTTTTATTTTAATTTTAGTTTTAGAGATTTTAGTTATGTGCTTTTAACAATTTTATTAGATTTTTTGTCATGTATTTAGTTTTAATTTATTTTATTTCTATTTAAGTTTTAGCTTTTGTAACTTTAGTGCTTCAACTTGTTTTATTTTAGTTCATTTTAATTAGTTAGTTTTTTCTTCTAATATTTATATATAGAATTTTTTTAGCAATTTCATTGATATTATTTAAGTCACTTTTCACCCAAAAACAACAATACTATGGGTAAAAAGCTCACTGTGTAGCACAAGTTTATAAAAGTTGTCAGTATAAACAAGCTGTTTTTAAGTAAATTAAAGCTTATAAACCTACTGTATATAAAGAGTCCAATTTATTAGCAAGTTCTTTATACATTATTAGCCGGGTTAATGCAATGATTTATAATCCAGTCAGATACCAAGAAAGAAGCTGGAAGGAAGAAGGTGTTTAAAGATGTCTTCTTGAGAGGACTCTGCTCTTTGGTCAAGCAGACCTTTATTTCTTCTGATCAGTATCAGATAATTTCTCTCTCTACTGAGCACTTTGTCTTCCCTGCACATGCTTTATAAGGGAAGGAGTGTGTGGAAAAACACACCACATGGAGAGATTTGAATTTTTATGGGGTCATAAATTATCACAGTTGATTACATGCCACATTTGTATGTGGTGTAAAGCACTTTTTTGTGCAAGTTTGTTTGGCACTACAAGATCCCAAAGCTTACTTGTAATGCAAGGAGACGTTTAATAAAAGTCGTGGAGCAGTTTTTATCACTTAATGAACCTAGGCGATTTGAATGAGAAACTATTTTTCTCCATTCCTTGGAGCAGTCAAGACATTTTTCAGATCTGCTAGATTTCCAGAGTTTCCTTCTGGCAGAGAATGAGAATGGATTGGGTTTCGCCATATTTGGTCACTGGAATTAATGAGCTTTTTTTCTTCCCTTGTGATGTTCAGTGACTTATTTTGAACATTAGACCACCGCAGCGCTGTGATTGAGTAAATATACAGAAAAGGCTCATTTATACGTTCTCAAAACTTTGCACCAAAGCGTAACGTTTTTCGCATGTGTAAGCAGTCAAGAAATCATGCATGGCCTTTAAAGATTATGTTTTCTTTTTGCTTGAGCAGAACCTGTTTGCGTTTGGAGACATTGATGGTAAAGGCATAGATGCAAAACTGCAGCATCCATTAGGAGTGTCCTGGGATGAGGGCAGCAGCCTCCTCTATGTAGCCGATTCTTACAATCACAAGGTCAGTCTTTCTGCACCAGACACGCTAACAATGCACTGAAGTCCCATTGAGTGACTTTTATTTTAAAGCTAAAATACATTAGAACAAAGTTGGGGATTGTTGAATTAGTTAAATAACTTGCTAAATTAGTAAATGTGTGTGTATATATATATATACAGTGGTGTGAAAAAGTGTTGGCCCCCTTCCTGATTTCTTATTTTTTTGCATGTTTGTCACACTTTAATGTTTCAGATCATCAAACAAATGTAAATATTAGTCAAAGATAACAATTTCTTTTCATGAAGAGGTTATAGCCTGCATTTGCATAAATTAATCAAATTGTAAATTAATCAAATTAAAAAAACTGATTAGATAAAATCTGACTAAATGTAATTTTTAATTAAAGGGGTGGTTCACTGTTTTTTTTTTCTAGGCTTGATTGTGGGAACATTACACACTAACTAATGTTAAGAAAGTGAAATCGCAATGAACCACCTCTTTAAATACAGCTTAAATACACTTTTTAAAGAAAACATTTGACAAAAGTATGTTTTTGTGATCAACCCTATTCTATTATTATTATTTCCTATTTTTCTCTTCTATTTTTTATTTGTGAAACTTTCCAAATTCTCATACTTATTTACTCAGAATTTGCTCCACATCAGGCCATCCAAGATGTAAAAGGATTTTTCCCCCATCCAAACAGATCTGGAAAAATGTAGCATTACATCACTTGCTCACCAATGGATCCTCTGCAGTGAATGGGTGCCGTCAGAATGAGAGACTATCCTTAATGTTGCTTTCTCCGGTGAAAAAGTTGTCTTGTCTAAATCAGGAGAGGAAAATGCACAGATAAAGCACCATTAAGCCAAAACGGTTCTAAACAAATATGTCGGTGGATTTTAAAGACAACAGGGGATGGACTTTTTCACAATAGTTTAAAGTTTTACTTCACAAAACGTTAATTGATGGACTTAAGTTGTGTGGATTACTTGTGGATTTCTGTGATGTTTTTTATCAGCTCTCATTCCCATTCACTGCAGAGGTTCCATTGGTGAGCAAGTGATGTAATGCTACATTTCACCAAATTTGTTCTGATGAAGAAACAATCTCTTCTACATCTTGGATGGTCTGAGGGTGAGTAATTTATCAGCAAATTTTTATTTTTGAGAAAACTATTCCTTTAACCACAAAAAATGGTGCAAGTTTTTGAATCGGCAAGCACTTAGTTTAACTACCAATGGTCATTGACTCCGCGAGCATGAAAGAGCTTCTCTGTTGTAGATCAAAGTGGTGGATCCGAAGACTAAGCAGTGCAGGGTGCTTGCAGGCACAGGGAAGGCTGGGAACGGACTTGGCCCGAGCTTTCTGGAGTCCAGCTTCAATGAACCCAGAGGCCTGTGTCTGGGTGAAGAAGGAAAGCTGCTGTATGTGGCGGACACCAACAACCATTGCATCAAAGTCCTGGACCTGGAGACCAAAACTGTCTCTTTGGTGAGTTCCTACATGTGGGTTGTCATTTGTCAGTTGTCATTCTAAACTATTTTTTTTATTGTTTTCTCTTTTTTTGCGCCAGTTTCCCATTGTAGTTCAGCAAGAGGTTGATGCTGTCCTCACAACCGCCACTAGCAACACACCTGCGGTCAGAAAGCTTCCCAAGCTTCCCAAATCAGCCCCAGTCTTTACAATGCCATCAATCACAGTTCCTTCAGGACACTCAGTGACACTTTTGCTGAAATTGGCACTACCGGCTGGGACCAAGCTGACCGAAGAAGCCCCTAGTTTCTGGTGCTTATCTGCAGAAGGTACAAAATCAAATGTATCCAATAAGAGCATCTTTACTAGCTCTCAATGCCAATCACTTACCATGCATATTATGTAAAACGCGTTTGTTTACATGCGGTTTTTCGCACCTTTTACACTATTCCTCTGGGGCTCCTCTGTGTAGTATTCTGTTTGCTGGATTGCCGTGTTCACACATTTTCAGCAGGCTTCAGGGACCAGCTGGCCATACTGGGAGATGATCCAAGGATAAATAAACAATTCCTTTATGCATCCCAACACACGATCAACCCCTCATTCTATCTTACCCTTCCTATCTCTCTCTCTTTTTAGCATCATCATTTCTGCCTCACCCTCCATCCGTCTGCTGCAACATTTGTCTTTCCTGTTGTCTTTTCTCTCAGTTCTTCTTCACAAAAACGTCAATCCCACCCGAAAGCACAACTTCCATGATTGATAATCAGCCCAGTCACCAGAGACGACTTCTGCTCATCACACTGGTTGTTTGTCTACGCTCTGCAGTCCGCACCAAAACATTCTAAAATCCAATAAACAAGCACCTAATTAGTTGACGAAAGTGGTCATAGTTGAAGTGACAAAAAGTCCCGGGGGGCTACTCTGCATAATTAGAACAAAGATACCCATTAGGACCAAAAAAGCCTGACTGCCTGTGGGCGTTAAATTCTCAGAAACGGCAACTAATAGTTCTGTCTGACTTTGATTGATTGACTGTAATTATGCACCAAATTACCGTGAGTGCTTGTTTGTGGGTGGCTTCGCATGTGTACTAGTTAGTAGTGTTAATTGTTTTGTGTGTTATATGTAAATACAAGTGTGAGATTGAATTCCTGTAATTTGTTCCCCTGGAAAATTATTATCATTATGTAAATGGTTACATCAGCAGGGTCAGAAATTAATGGAGTCTTGAGGAAAGTGCCATCAAAAGTGACAAAAAATATGACCATTATTTTTATGATTTTATATGTACATTTACTTGTGATTTTATATATTTTTAAAAATCTTAGTTATATAGTTGCATTAATTGAAAGAGAACAACTTTTAGTTATTTATAATTAATTTGTAAATAAGTATTTGCACACTTAAGCAACATTTAAAAATGAATATCAGATTATATAAAATATCAAACATAGTGTCATTTATTTTAATGAAAGACAGTTTGAATTTTGAGTTTTACAAAAATGTGTAAACCTTGCCCTCATAGATAAAAATGTCACAAAAATATTAAGACATACATTTTCAACATTGATAATAAGAAGAAATGTTACTTGATCAACAAATCAGCATGAATAGAATGAATTCTGAAGGATCATGCTGAATGTCTACTGAACATTCAGCTTTGCCATCACATGAATGAATTATATATTCTACAAAATAGTAAAATAGAAAACATTTTAAATTGTAGTAATATTGCTGTATTATTACTGTAATAATAATTACTGTTTTGATAAAAAATGCAGCTTTGGTGAGCATTTGAATGATTGATATATATATATATATGTGTGTGTGTGTATACATGTGATTTTATATATTTTTTAAAATCTAGGCTTAGTTATATAGTTGCATGAATTTAAAGAGAACAGCTTTTAGTTTATTTGTAAATAGGTATTTGCACACTTAAGCAACATTTAAAAATGATGAATATCAGATTAGATAAAATATCAAACATGGTGTCATTTATTTTAATGAAAGACCGTTTGAATTTTGAGTTTGACAAAAATGTGTAAACCTTGCCCTCAGAATTATTTTTCTGACAGTTTATGGTCTGTGCTCTGTGCATATGTTTTACGTAGGTCAGCCCTGTAGGTCTTTGCTCACATCCTCTCCTGTTCAGTCTCACTGGGGATCATTTGATTGGACACTGTCCTAATTCTATCCGTCACTTGTCTTAGTAGCCTCCCTCTGATTCAAGGCCAGTGACACACACCTAGTTCACACGGCATTGCAGAAACATGAACCACTAGCGTACATGATTCCCTACTGAAATTGTGTTTGTATGCATACTGAAAGTCCCCATCAACTGCCAGAGAATATTTCATTGCGTTGGCAGGTGTATATGTGTTGTTTTACACCCAAACACATGGTGCTGTAGGAACCAGTGCCTTTCATACAAACATAAGCCAGAAATATCAAACATTACAGGAATCGTCCATTGACCGCACACTAAGCCGTGTTGTTTTTCTCGGCAGGTAATGAGTGGTTACTGGAAGGGCGAGCTGTGACGGGGAGCATCAGTGATCTCTCTGAACCCATCTCGATCGTCTCATCAATCCCAGTGGCCCCTGCGTCCACAGACCCCACGCTGATGCTCGACGCCTGGGTCTACTGCTGCCTTTCTGAGGGCGGGGCTTGTATGATGAAGGCAGTGTCCTTCAAACAGCCTCTTCTGATTGATTCCACATCTGAGGAAGGTTCTGTTGCTGTGATGCTTGAGCATGCCTTTTAAAACAAGTGTCCACCCAAAGGATCTTGGAGCACATTTAAAGGGATACTTTACCCAAAAATGAAAATTCTGTCATAATTTACGCATCCTCTTGTTGCTCCAAAACTGTGTGACTTTCTGTCTTCTGTGGAACATAGAAGATATTTTGGAGAATGCTGGTAACCAAACAATTTCAGTTACTGTTGACTTGCATTGTACGGACAAAAATTACAATGCAAGTCAGTGGGAATCAAAACTGTTTTGATACCATCATTATTCCGAATATCTTCCTTTATGTTCCTCAGAAGAAAATAAGTCATAGATGTTTGAGGGTGAGTAAATGTTGAAAGAATTTTCATTTTGGGTCATCCAAAAATTAAAATTGTCATTTACTAAACATCATGTCGTTGCACCACAGAATTAAAATTTTATCTCACACCTTTTTTTTCACAATTCTGGCTTTTTTCACAAGTCCAAATAGTGAGAGGAAAAATGTCAGAATTACCTTTTTTATTTTTATATTCCGGAAACAAGCTTCCATAGTTTTGGACCCCACTGACTTTCATTATACAGACAAAAACATTTTTTTCCATAGAAGAAAAACAGAACGGCATGAGGGTGAGTAAATGATTTTTTAGGAGAATATCCCATTAACATTCAAATCACATCCCGCGGTTAACACATACTGTAGTAATCAGACACTTCACATGCTCGTCATCAGGCTAATGACGGATTGCAAGTACCAATTGTAGAGTCAGGATCTGACTGTTAAATCTTGACAAATATTGAACAAAGTGCCTCATTCTCATCAGCAATATTTTTGTGGTTCTGCTATGTTTCACATGCTTAATTAAGCTTGTTAAATAGTCTGATATCATTATCAGCCATCTTCAGTCCGTCACTCACTTGCTCTCACACAATAATATTTGAAATTATGCAGCATAGTGTAAACATGTAGCCAGTGTCAGCTGCTCTGACAGCCCTTCATGGTTGGGTTGGCTGATATTATTATTATTTCCCGCACTGCACATTTTGTTTCTTAACCGTATGATACTGTCTTGTAAATGAGCAGTCAGACTTAATGCTATTTAATTGGCATTATTTATTATTGTTTACCAGGCTTAAGTGCCTTTTCCATGAGCAATACACTTTATATGAATAAATTATGTGTTGGAAATCAAGCGGTGACATTAATTTCAGTGTTCAGTATTTTGTGGAATGGAATCATGAGCCATTTACATCTACATATTAATGTTTTCTGAAATTATAGTCTTCTAGTGCTGTTAGGTATTAAAAATGGAACTACAATGTGTTTCTAAAGCTGGCTGGTACATCATAGATCAGGCGCTTGCAGATCATGCACTTGGAGAGTGTGAATCAGACCAGGTGATTCTTCTAGACACTGTGTAGAAATGGCCACTAAATTTGTTCTGTTGCTGTTTTTGCTTGCTTTTCCTGTGGCAGTTCTAGCACATAAACTATTTAATAAAAACAAAATGTATCTCTCCCTTTTGAGGGCAGCTCTTTTATACAGCCTCCAAATTCTGCACTTTAACAGATTAATTGGATGCAGTGGTCTAATAAAGTTTACTTGCCCAGCATTTATGTGTTCAGAGTTTTCATATCCTCCTCACTACATTCAAGGACCAATGCATTCATTGTAAATGACAAAAGACCATCTGTTCCAGCAGAGCTGCTTCATGGTGATAAAGATTTCAGTTTTTTTTTTCAGTGACACTTTAGAACAAGATTTGATTTGTTAATATAAAATATTAGGTATCATTAACTAGAATCAAATTTTTTTTACAATATTTATTGATCTAGGTTAATATATAAATATACCGTTGATCATTGTTAATTCATGTTTTTTCATAATATATTTACCTAACGTAGTTCATACAACTTTGAAATCCTGAAAATGTATATGTAAATGTGTGTGTGTGTGTTTGTTTGTATATATATATATATATATGCGCACTGATTAATAAATGGTGTAAAAGTATTGTATATTGTCCGTTAATTATACACTACTGTTCAAAAGTTTTGGGTTGGTAAGATGTTTTAATGTTAATGTCTCTTATGCTCTCAACAAGGCTGCATTTATTTGACCAAAAATACAGTAATATTGTGAAAAAAAATTATAATTTAAAATTGGTGTTTTCAATTTGAATATAATTTAAAGTGTAATTTATTCATGTGATAGCCAAGCTGAATTTTCACCAGCCATTACTCCAGTCTTCAGTGTCACATGATCCTTCAGAAATCATTCTAATATGCTGATTTGGTGCTCAAGAAAGATGTATTATTTATTTTCAATGTTGAAATGTTAATATTTTTGTGGAAACCATAAAACATTATTTTCAGGATTCTTTGATGAATAGAAAGTATAAACATCTTTACTGTCTCTCAAATTTAATGCATTCATGCTGGGGAAAAAAGTATTAATTTCTTTAAAAATAATAATAATAATTTGTAGTATACCTATTTAATTAACTAATGTTAAAGTGTTTGGCTGTCTGCAACCGGTATTGCCACCACGCTCCATTTTCCTTGGCTTAATGTTCTCAGCAATTCCAAATAAAGCTGAGCTGTGAAAATATATGCTTTGTGCTGCTGAATGTGATCCTCATAATCTCTCAGCAAACACCGAATGCCATCAGAATGTTGTTTATTTCCACTCGCAAGAATCCCCCAGAGAAGCTGCAGCACCCATTACTGCGCAACAGGCTAATATTTAACCAGAAAACACATTACGAATCAGAGCCCGAGTCCATATGCAGGATTAACAGAAGCGTAAATAAGAAATAGAACATTAGAATTTAACAGGCAGTCAATCAGACGGCTGCTTTTTGACACGCATCTGCTTTCATCACAACAGCTCCCAGCAGCAGTGAAAGAACATTTGCACTCTTGAGATGATTACACACATCATTATGACAATTTATGAATTTATCAAAGACATTCTTGCCATTTTTGGGGGGAGGGAAAAAACACTGGTTCTCTTGCCAGAATCATCCATAATTTTCCAATAGCACTGAAATAATCTGAAGAATGCCATGGGTGATTGAGAGAGGCAACAATATGAGCTCAAGGCCTCAGTGCTTAGATCTTGTGATACTGTGCGTGTTAGTTGACAGAAACGTCAGTCTGTAAAACGTCTGTAAAACCCTCATACTAATCTTTCAGGTTCAGTTATGATTCAATGACAGGACTTTTAACCTTCTTGTGAGTCTTGCTTCTTTTTTCAATCACTTTCACTATCACAGTTAATAGCACTCCAGTCAGGCTATAGTTAGCTCAAGTAAAACCATACTTCTTAGCCATTCAATTTAAACTAAGGCTCGGTCTCAATGTTACTGTGCTTATTTCTTTGTTTAGACCTTTCTAAGTGATCAGATTTATGATTTGCAGATGGAAAACAATAAAATATGTGAAAGAAAATGTGCATCCTAATCTGCATACTGAATGGCTAGGCAGCTTTGCTGCAGAATTTAGCTTCAACCCTGCTCAAACTCACCTAGCTCTCTAAGGCTGTGTCCGAAAGCTTAGGCAGCTGACTTGTTTCCTTGCTGCCCTATGAGGCAATGACTTTGCAGGCAGCGTTTACACACATTTAATTTCAGATAGACTTCAGAGGCAACATAAAGGTTAAAGGATAAAGGAATTACAACAAAAACAGAGAGAGAGAGAGCTTTGGTGATAACTAAGCGAATATTTAATAACATACAATATTAATTTGTTGCTATAAATTAAATCAAACGTGGAAAAAGTTGGTCAAAAACACTTTTTTACACAAACTGACCAAAAACCACAACTTTCAGATTCTATTTTGTATTTTTTAGCTCAACCGATCATATGAAGGTATTTTAGTACTCAGGTTGTGACACTATCTTTGGATTCGGACATGCCTTGTGTTGCCTTATCTCAGTATATTGCCTGTGTACTGTTTCTTTTATCTGACACACACGCGCACACACACGTTTTGGAGTATTTACTAATGAGCTGATAAGCTGAATCAGGTGTTTTTGATTAGGCAGACATCTAAAATGTGCAGTGTTGGGGGTTCTCCAGGACCAGGATTGGGAACCACTGGTGTACAGTATGTCATTTGAGACACAGCCATAGACTTTCATTGATGGAGGGTCAACACCTTGCAACCATATAGTAATGTGCTACAAATCACTCAGAACACATTATAGCAACCACATCTTAACCACCCAAGACCTTCTTAGTCGTGCATGACAAAGCACCATACTTATTAGTGTTTAATGTAGTGTATAGCTCACATTAACCCTGAAAGAAGAGTCAGTATTAATCTGTATGATGGAGTTTGCTGAATGATATTGAAGAGCATGTCAAATGTGCTGATTAAAGCACATTTAAGGCTTGCGTCATGCTTAAAGGGATATTTCACCATAAATTGAAAATCATTTATTTACCCTCATGTCATTCCAAACTTGTATGACTTTCTCCTGTGGAACACAAAGAGGATATTTTAAAAAAATATCGCAACTGTTTTCTTCCATTCCATTAAAGTCAATGGGGTCCAAAAGAACACCGAACCCCGCTGAATTTCATTATACACTCTTAAAAATAAGACTCCAAAAGGATTTTTCTAATCTAAAGAAACTTTTTGAACTATAAAGAACCTTCTGCACAATGAAAAGGTTTAATGGATGTTAAAGGTTCTTCATGGAGCCATAGTTGCCAATAAAGAACCATTATTTTTTAATAAGTACTCTCAGTATACTCTCACATTAAGGTTAGCTGAACTACATTTTCATTATAATCCCACCAGCTGCTGAGTTAACTGCAATTTAAATGCTATTAAATGCAAGTTTAAAAGTTAATGGACATCTGTCTCTCTGGGGTAAAATACTGTATATACACTTCCAAAGCTCCAACCATTCAATAACGCACCTCGAAGCGAACACAATGAACTTTCAGCTGCAGTCATGTTTATGTTTGCATATGTGTAGCTCATAGTATGAACAACATGTTTTCAGAGGTTAACAGCCAATGCTGAGATCGGAGCATGCTGTTTGTCAGATAATGACCCTTTGAACCTTCCTTCCTTTAGGAAGAGGGGAAGACAGATGCTGTTTTTGATCTGTGATATTTTCCAGGAGTGTAAACGTACAGTATGGAATGCATGAAACATATGGAGTGTGAAGCATATAGACTGACAGACAGATGTGGCATATCCGGGCTCCCTCAAGAGTTTATGAATGTCTGGAACAAGTATTTCAATCAAAATTCGTATTTTAAAAGATGCACAAGACATAATGAAACCTTTAAATTGTAGTTCCGCTTCCTAAGCATTGTATTACTTATTTATTTCTCCTCAAAGCCACAACAGATCTCCTTCTGTAGGTCAGATAATGAAAGTCTATTATTCAGCGTAGTTGTTTGGGTAAATATGTGATTTAATATGATCCAGTATTAATATTCTGAAGACATTTACCATGACTTGAAAACTGTGCTCTGTGAATTTTAATAAATCGGCATGAAACTAAAGACAATTAGACTGCTGTGAATAGAAATGTGAAA